GAATGTCTTAATAATCGACCGCGAACCTTATTCAGAGGGCGGAAGCTTCGGTCACGTTCAGTGTGATTTATTTCAGCTAGGTATAAAACCACTGCACTGGCGACTGACTTAATCCATCCGATGTTCAGCCTTCGAGTTTCGCCGTGAATAAGCTCGCGAAAGTCGGTCCCAGCGGAGATCGGATATCTTGCCGCATATCGCTTTCTCTGTCTTACCATGAAACCAGAGCAGTTTCCAGGATCGCTTTCCAACTACATAAAGATGAAACTGGTTCATTCTTTTATGCAAAAGAATTCCTAGATTTAATGTAAACGTAAAAAGCTCTAAATTTAGGAGAACAGAATAACAGCAGTATCTATACGTTTGTTTTGTAATAGCAACGGAGCTACGCGACCCACCAGTGTACTTCAACTACGGCATTGCACGCATAATTACGTAAATTTTGTTGTCGATTAGAGCTTAAATGGCACTCTGTTGACAGTAACCTGGTTTAACCCAGTGGAAAGACTATTTGGAGCGAAAGCCAAGGTCATAGAAGATAGAAAGAGATTGATTTGTCGTATTTTACGTACGCGGAGCGAGAAACCTTTTGGTAATGCCTCTTTTTAATACACTGCGCGCAACATCTTTAGCAGATCTGTTAAAACAAGTATCTTTTCAAAAGTAATATTCATGAACCGCCTCTGCTGATATTCCATCTTCGAGTGAGAATTTGATGTTGAATACAAGGGCTCAGGTTGATAAAACCAATGAGACTGGTGGCATACCATTTCGGAAGAAAGAGTTTCTTCGTAGGCAATATCAAGGTAAAATGACTTGTTTTCTTAAAGGCGCTGCGGATTGCTATCCGACAGCATTCTGCTAATAAAGGCATCGCCTTTGGTATCAAATTGAAAGTATTCGGTTGTGACGGACTCGAAGTCGATCGTTTGCGAACAATTTCAGTTTTTGAGTGAACCGGTTCATTAAGTGTTTTCGTAGAGACAACGGGGTCCGAGTGAAAAATTCGGTGTTGTATATTTTTGTGAGGGTCAGGCACGTTTTTGTCATATTCCACTCGGGTCCTATTTTCAGTTATGTATCTTCTCTTACCGTGTTAAGTTAATGATGCCAACCACACTCACTTGATTCTCTTATCCTTAGCAATCGGAATCCAGTGCATTCGTTTTTACCGGGTCTGCTGAAATCCAGAGAAATCAGTTTGCAAAAGGGAATTCGAAGGTTACCTATGCAGGAAGCGTTTGTTGGTACTGTGTCATACGTACACCGAGATGCCGCAGAGCAACATAGATTTGACAAGTGCATTGAGATTAGGAATCCCTAATGTTAATCACGATAGAAATGTTCATTATCTCGCTTAAGGATAAGTGTAGTCTTTTCGATGAAATAATGGCTTTTAACTTATGTTCCTTCCATTAACTGGATTGATGTATCATAGAACAAAGAATGAAATTCCCAAATTAATAAAATGAAATAATCACTAAACCGCTTTTTCGTTCAATAGAATATGAACCAGTTAAGCACTTATCGCCAAAATCACAGTCATCACACATTGTCTTGATGTTTATTTCTTTCTTTGCCAACATTAGGTTTCGGAGGAAGAAATGCTCGCGGCTGGTCTAAGGCCGCATCAACGGGACTACTGCGCTCATGTGCTGATGGCATTCCAGAAATGCAAGGCGGAAAACTTCGTCGCGGCGTTTTCATGTTCGGAATTACGCCACGAATATCTTCGTTGTCACCAAGCGGATCAATTATTACGCAGAAAAGAATACGAACGGGAACGACGTTTGTTAGCTAAAGAACATGAAAGCTTNTGAAAGCTTGTGATCAAATCTAGTGTTGCATCTAGTTCTCTCTTTCAAATGTACAAAATAGATGCTTGACTTTCAGCCCCTTTCATCGTTCTTTTTCGAGAGGTGTTCATACGGTTGTGTTAGTACTTTCCATACACAAATAATTAGTCTCCAGCAAAAGATTGGAATGCAATATTTGTCACTGCCAACCATAGTCAAATTGGATTTTGTGTAACTCAGCAGCAGCAAAAATTTTATCAATATTATTTTACTAACTGTACGCAGATTGCATAAAACATCATCCTGACAGGGACACAAAAGGTACGCACTGCTGACGAGTCCCAAACAGAACGAAACAGCTGTCCAGTGCTCTTTGTTGGTTATCACAAACATTCCTGTTGCATATAGTGTTGGTGTTCGAAAGCCGCCGTCTACGCCGCATTACACGAGTCTGATGGGTAAACCAGACAAGCAATACTGAGGTTAGACGTGGGGTTTTAGGTAACTGCGGTCGCTCACCGGAACAAGTGGCCGACCTCCGTGTATTGCGTATATGAATAAATAGGTTGCCACCTCGCGAGATGCTTGCAGAGGATAGAAAAAGGTCAGGGGAGGTCAAACTAAGACTTGGTATGAGGATACGAAAACCCTAACCAGGAGACTGGGTACCGCTAGGCTCCCTGGATGGGAAACCCGATATCGCGGTAATCGATTAGAAACGCGGAATGGCTGAGAGTAGAAAACAGTGGTGATCGTGCATCTACTCAGTATCTTTGCAACCTTAGTCCATGTTAATTCTCCATCTCTTTTGACTCTGGTCGCAATAATCCATTTGTTTCGCTAACCGGTTCAGTACAGTGCATAACCTAGTGGGGTCTTACGTGGTTTCGCCAATCACAGACCTGGGGCTTGAATAGTCGGTTTCATCAGTGAACAGCAGGTCTTCGCGATTATGGGGTCCACTCCGTTCAGCACACAAATATGTAATAAGAAGACTAATGGTTGAGACACGTGCTGTGGATGTCGGTTCAACGACTGCCCTGCCGTATGTTCGAGCGAGCGGACTGCAAGAGACGAAGAGGTGGACCACGAATAACCTGGACTCGAGGAATGATGGCGTTAATCTGAAAATTGCAGTTGTAGCACGGTCTTGGCTCCTAGGTTGGGATATCAGTGATGGTAAAAAACTATGACCCGAAACCGGGGTTGATGGCCGTAAGTGTTGTGAGACTCTCACTCCCTTATTTGCATTTGAACAGTTTCCATAATTCTTCGTTCATAGATTGTGCCACATTTGCCAACTCCACGTAATTGTTTAAGTA